TGTTTTATCTGAGGCTGCTACCAAGATTGCCCAACATCCTGTGCCAGTACGCCCCACTGTAGATCTCCAGATTGGGGCGAAGCCGAAAATTGCAGTGGCACTGGGGGCCAGTCGCAGGCTCCAGTCCCAGTCCCAATCCCAGTCCCAATCCCAATCCCAATCTCTAGGCAGAGTCCCAGCTGTTGGTGAGTGGTTATGGCGTTGCCTTAACCAAAGGGTGCCCCCGCCCCAGACGCAACGTAATGCTCCACTTACTTCCTCGTAAGCGAAAGAAAGAGAAATAAAACACAAACTCAAACAGACCCGACCGAGACACACCATCGAGGCTTTCAATTTGCACAAAACTTCACATAAATTACATAAGTTGACCAAAAAAAAAAGCAAAACAAAAACGAGACTACAGAAAAAAGAGCGCTTGCACGAGAAGGAGATGCAGAAGAAGATGAAACAGAATAGGCAGTAGGGTAAGTGCACCTTTTGGAACTGGCCGAGATCGAAACTGGTTGACCAACTGACCTTGAAGCCGAGATGGGACCCAGCCCGAACCGCAACGCACCGCACCACGCGAGTCTTACGCAATGCACCGATTCCCCATTCAATCTTCTTCAGGGCCCCATCTACACCATGCAAACCGAATTGCAGCTTACAGCCTCGGGCCACTCGAAGAGACCCCCCCTTAAACGATTGCAAAATTCCATTTGAAATTTTGTGAGTTTTCCCCCCCAAAAAAAAACAACCACCACGCTTGGGTCCGATCTGGTAAGGGGAAGATCTCTGGCTTGTCAAATATGTAAACAGCCAGGCCAAAGCCAAAGCCAAAATTGGTGAAGTGGCAGCAGGGGAAAAGGCAACACCGACGCTGACGCAGCTGCCGGTGCTGCTGCTTTTGGGCCGGTTCGGTCTCAAGTGTGATATAAAAGCCCGGCTACCAGCCAGCCAACGATCCATAGTACAAAATCACTTGCAGCGCCAACACACATCCAGTCCAGTGAAGAGTTGTAGTTCATCAACCCAATCGAAATGTTCAAATTCGTGTTGATCGCCAGCCTGCTGGCTACCGTTGTCCTCTCCGCACCCGTGAGTGTTAAAGAAAAGAGAAAACTCCCCTGAACAAAGGAAAACCACATGGAAAATCTCAATTTAGTGACAAACAAACAAGTTTAATCGCGTTGCTGTTGGTGTTTTAGTGGCTATATTAGGTGGGGGTGGGAATGGGTATGGGGTTGGGTGTTCTCAAGATCGGACGCACTTGGGACGCTTGGTGCTGCGATCCATATCGCACTTCTCGAAGCTGCTGCACTTGACATTGCCACAATAGCTGCCCGTAGCTCCAGCTAGGAATTAAACAAAAGTACAATCATATTAGAAACAGTTAAAGGCTAACTTTAGTCACCCACAGCTCCAGATCGATTAGGTAGGAAGGAATCGATAGAAGCATACTAAACTATACTCTGCGAGGTTTGATGGTTTGATCCTCAAATTTAAACTATCCCATTACTTAAGAACGTTCGTGAAGAACCAAATCGCTTTTAGCAAAAACTTTGAAGCTATGGACGCAGATCCTATTAACAGATTCTGCCATATTTCAGGCAAATATCTTCCAAAGGAAGAGATCAGTAGTCAGATTTCATTAGATTTCTGCATGTATGAGGGGTAACACTTACTATTCTTGCTGCCGAAGGGCGACTTGTCTCCACCAGAGTTGCCCAGCTGGTTAGGCTGGACACAGCTTCGTCCGTTGCACAGATTTGGGCAGCACTTGCCACCGATGGCACTGCACTCGCTGTCGTGCAGGCACTTGGGCGTACAGTTCTGGACTTTGGTCGAGGAAGGACAATCTGTTGGCGGCAAGGGTGAGGTGAAATGTTAGGAAAGCTCCAGCGAAAGCTTGCCAGCGAGAAAGCTGTACTGTACTTACCGCTGGCAGCCAGTGTTGCCACCACACAGGCAGCAATCAGGAGCGATAGAAAGCACAGTCGAACTGTAAATTTGAATGTGAATGTTTAATGAAAGCCGCATTCTTTATGGTTCCGCATTTGGCACTCATTCGCTTTCATAACACCTACCCATGATTATAATTGTTGGTATATTTGTTTTGAACAGTTGAACGTCCGCTTGGTTACTATAGTCAACATCGACTGCCGCTCGTCGGGCTTTATATGCCGACACACAGCCGTTTCGATCTGACCGAACAAGTTTTCAGGTTATTTATCGTTAGTTTTTTTTCTGTTTTTTTTCAGTTTTTTTTTAGTATTAAGACTACTTCCCCACCTTGCCTTTGCCACGCCTCGCCTTGACGCGTGATACTAAAACAAAGGAAAGAAAAAATATTCCACCCCAACAACAGCGAAAACTTATCATTTTGACTTTGAATTTACATATAGCTAGGATCGGGATAGCCGATAGCTGTAGACGCTACCCGCAAGCCCGCGAAATGTATAGCGAAACATGGAAGAAGGATGTAGAAGATACATACAAGATACAAGCTATGATAGAAAAGAGCAATACAAATCTATTATTTTATTTGAGTATTAAAATAAATTCTGTGGGGATTTGATGTTGTGGAAGTTCCTTGTAATCCTTACCATTCAACGAAGGTAGTTTCTTCACATAAGTATTCTAGTAGAGCATTTAGCCTACCAACGAGACCCCATATCGAGCAGATAACTGGAATACATCGACACATTTTTCAATTACTGCTTCCGTTCATGCATTCAAGCAGAAGACAAATTGAATATGCTTGGGGAAGGAGAACAGAAATAATGTGTCAAAACATCGCAATCAACGTTTCGTTCGCTCTGTTGAGTCATACTCGTTGCAGCTAAGATTAGGTTTACACGATCGTTACAAGTTGTGATAATCATTTGCTAAAATTTGTCAAAAGTTGCCAGCAATTTCTGGTAGTTGCACTGATGCGCAACACATAGCATCCGATTCATGTTGGAATGACAATGGGAACATTCTTTGTCCATAGCACCAATCAGCACTTTCGGATGAGCGAAAGTTTTCAATATTTGACAATATATGGGTATCAGAAACAATTTTCATTCAGATTTTTCCATGGCGATAATCTTCCTGGCTTGCATAAACCTTGTAGATCGCAAGATCATGTAAAATTATTATATAACCGTATCTGACAGATGTCTATACGCTCAATAGTTAGCAAGGTTCATTGGGTCATTAGTCAGTATAGAAAATCCCCACATGATGTCATATGTGCAATGGAAGGGGAAATCCAGAGGTCTGACAGACCGAACAGAAATGATGCGGTATTCACCTTGAAATCAGATTCATATTTTATTTAAATCACAAGAATATTTAATTGGAAAAAAGGGGCTTGAGTCTCACTTCGATCAGGTTGATTAATGAAAATTATTTCTCTCCGATTTCAGATCGATCAGGATGAGGAGGACAGATTAGAGTTGGAGCGCCAGCAGAACGAAAATGCACAGTACTCCTTCAGCTCCAACATCGACGATCAAATCAACGACAACCAGAATACAAGGACAGAGGAGCGCGATGGGGGCACCGTCAGAGGCTCGTACAGCTACACGGATGGATTCGTGAAGCGCACCGTTCACTATATCGCCGATAAGGACGGCTACAGGGTGCTCAAGGACGAGATGCAGGATATTGGTGATGGACCCCAATTCAATCCCGATGGCCAGGCCGACGTTGAGGGCTCCCTCATCGGCAAGTACTCGATCAAGCTGGACAAGAGCGACGAGGACAAGCACTACAAGGACATCAGGGCTTAAACCTATACCGCACCCTGTGCTTAGTTAGAGAATTTCTAACATTTAGAAATGGACTGAATACTTCGTAAAGTAAAGTTACAACCATCCGAACGAAACAAAGTTGTATTTTTTTCTCCTTAATAAAAACAAAAACAAAAGGAATTATAAAATTATAAAAAACCAAAGCTATTCTGTCATTAATGGATCTATATACATATGCATCAAAAAGGGCCTTATAGGCATTGAAAATTAGATTACTGAAGCCCGTCAAAATTTGGGCATCAACAAAAATTGTTCCATAATTGAATCTAAGTAACGAATAAAATAACCAAGAGAATGTGGGCCAGTCTGTAAATACTCTGCAGATAGATCGTTTCCTTCTGCGACAGAAGAATATCACCCTATGAACAGTGAGCTCTGAGGCGTTATCCCCTTAGAAATTTCTACTTATTCACATCACTTTCTTTTTTTTCTCAAATTTATTTGTAATTATGTTTATGTATTGGTTAATTTTGCAGTGAGGTGCATCTAGGAGCAGAATGTTCTGTTGTTCTTGTTCTTTGCTTAGGTATTGTTTTGAATTTTGTTTAACCTCATCATAATCGTAACTTTGTTGCTTCTGATTTTTACTTGCTATTATCTATGTGGTTTTCGTTCTCTCTTTTGCAGTTTTGTTTCCTTCTTTCGTTCTTTCGTTTATCATTTGCATTGCCTTTGTATTGTTTTTTTATCAACAGTTTTTCTTAATGTATAGGGGGCCTTCTTTTGAAATTATTTTCGTGAATTAGAATTACGTTTATGCGCTATATGCTAAAGAAATGGTGTGGATATGGAGAGTCGTTTCTAGGCTCGGGTGAGTGTGGGTGCGGGTGATTTGTCTGGTGGAGAATACTAAACTTAGGCTAAAATTACAGTATAAGAACTTAAGAACTAGGCGCTGGGCCCAGGCGATATACACTCCAATTAGTTTATAAATTACACAGTAAAGTATGTGTATATATATATATATATATATATCTCATATACATCAATATGAAGTTCTTATATTCATAGAACAAACCAAACGAACTTCGCACATGCGCGAATAAATTATAAAAATATAGTCTTCATAGGGGGTGCCAGACAGATGCCAAACTATGATTTCTATCCATATGGTACAATTAATTTAAAAATAAATATATACATTACATATAATCTAATCTGTTTTTTATGCTTTACGTTTGCCTTTTGTTTTTTCGTTTTCGTTTTCTTTTCCATCTTGTTTTTCTTTTTCTTTTTGTATGTTTTCTTGTAATTACACTGAGAGTTTATAGATTGTTTGTTTTTTGCTTTTTATTTTTTAGTGTGCTTGAGATATCCTTAAACAATCACAAAAACAACGAGTATCTTTAGGGATATGCAACAAGCACAAAATACACAACACTCGTTTGTTTGCCCTTTAAGCGTTCTTCCACCTCCTTCTCCTCCTCTTCGTACTCTTTTTGGCTTTATACAAAAAGTTGTAAGAACTGCAAGGTTACTTAGTTTACATGGGTCTTTGATCGGTCTAAAATATACACACATATGTGTATATATTTATGATATATATCTATCTGTTGCCTTGGCTTTGTGTGTGTGCCCTGGGCTGGGACTGGGCCTGTGGCTGTGCCTGTGCCTGTGAACAGGACTGGTGTTGCTGCTGGTTCTGCTGTGCGTAAGCCTCTGCACTTGCGCTATAGTGTGTCTGTCTATTGGGATACATACTCATATGTATATAGCCATTGCATTCTAGTCTACATGTCTATGGGGGGGTGGGGGGTCTCTATATTACTATAATACGTTGTTCACATGGGCGATCGGCAGGGGGTCCGGCACTCATCTGATTCCACAGGACACACACAGCTTGGCCGCACCGATGCAGTCGTCGTGACAGAAGGCTCCGCACTGCTGGCAAATAACCATTGCGTTCAGCGAGCAGGCGCAGTTGTTGGCCGGTGCTGTTGCAGCCTCGCTGCCCGGCGGTGTGTTCTCCCCACTTTGACGCAGCTGCAGCAGAGGATGCACGGCCTGTTGTTGCGGCTGTTGCAGTGGTGGCTGCTGTTGCTGAATGACTGTTGGCGTGGCCCCGGCTGGTGCTGCGGCTGTGGTCACTATGTAGTTGTTGCCGGCGGCTGCTTCCATGAGAGCGGCGGTGGCGGCTGTTGAATTGTTATTGCTGCCATCGATGTAGGTGATGTTGGTGGATCCTGCCAAGAAAAGGAATTCGATACATGAAACACTGAAGCAAAGGGATTCTCATGTGGATTACATACTTACTAACAAATTATAAGTTCTATAAAAATATAAACAAGTTTGAGAGGCAGTTCAAAGCTGAATGAGCCCCTGATGAGACATGCAAGTAATCTATCTATCCATACAATCAAAAATCAGAACCAAAGACAGAACCAACCTGTGGCTGGGTCCTAGGGTACGAGTAACTCTAACAAATCTACGCAACAAACTAATGACTGCGTGCCAATTAATCATGGTTTCATGGATTGAATCCACTCAAGATTGAAGGATGATGGATGAAGGTGATTTGAAAGACGTACCTCGCTAACCACTAATAATACACCAATTTACCTGCAGCGATATTGCGCCGCACAATATTCGCGGCGGCGCCCACATTGCCAACATTTCCCATCTGCTGATGATGCTGTTGCTGTTGCTGCTGATGCTGCTGCTGCTGGTGCTGCTGTTGTTGCAGCTCGTGATTGTGATTGTGATTAAGATGGTGATGGTGCAGAACCTCGGTGGCAGTAATTGCCGGCGCCATAACGTTGCCGCTGCCCGCTGTATTATCCACCGATGCGGGACGCCCGCGTCCGCCCATTGGCAGGCCATTCAGGCTGTGCAGCGGATTCTGAACGGTGACAAACTGCCAATGCACAATAATCATTAGATATGTATATCAACAAGAGAACCGCTTCCAAACACTTACCTGATTCTGATGCAGTGGCGGGGCACTGGACGCCCTGGGCGCCTGATTGTCGGCCGCACCCACAGTGGCGCGATGCACCAACACGTACTGGCCACTGCCGTTCTGATGGATCAACTGCTCTGGTGCCGCCGGTGGCTGTGGCTGGGTCTGTGCCACTGGCAATGTCGTCGCCTGCTGTTGCTGTTGCTGCTGGAGTATCTGAAGCTGCTGGGGCGTGGCATTGGCCGCTCCAGGTCCCGGACTAAACACATGACGTATCAGTGCGTTGGGTGATGGCTTCCTCTGGACATATTTCTTACGCGGAAAGCCGCTCATGCGAGGACCAATGACCTGCAGACGACACAAATTGTTGATTGAAAATGGTCTCAAAAGGAATTTTAAGTGAATGTTCACCTTGTACACTCCAGGACGTCCAACGCCCATCAAATTGGGCGGCAGGCCGGCGGGCAGGGCTCCAGTGGCAGCTGCTCCTCCAACCAGCAGCTCCTCCGGCTTTAGCATATTCTGAATGGGAGCTGCCGCCGCCGGTGCGGCGACCACATTCGCGGAAACCGCCGTCATGTTCGACAAGGGTGTGGCAGCCACAGTTGACACATTCAGCGGGCTGCTCACAGGTGTTGCCGTTGTGGTCACTACCGTTGGCTGCTGATGCTGGTTGAGTATGGCCGCGGGGGGACGCAGCTGTGCTTTAAGATTCTCGCGATTTGGGCTATTCTGGATGACGGCCTGGCAGATTTGATAGCTTCGCTCGAGATTAACAGCCCCTGGGGGCAGCCTATTGCTGGTGGCCTTGCGTCCCTTGCCCGTCGGCATCTTCGGTTGCAATCGCTGCTGGGCAATGGTCGTCGGCACCCCCGAGGGAGGCAGCGTTTTCATCGTTAGAACGCTTGGCAATGTCGGCAACTGCTGCATATTGCTATTGTGATTGGACAGCTGCTGCTGGGGATGCTGAAGGGCCTGCGACTGCTGTTGAGGCACTGCTACTGATGTTGCTACTGAGGGCGGTGGCGGCTGGGGCTGGGGCTGTGGCGCGGCTGTTACGGCAACAACATTAGCATAGGCGGACGGAATTGTTGTGGTGTTTGCTGTTGTTGCTGCCGTAATGGGTAACGCACTGGCGGCGGGCCGCGTCATGGAAATAATATTCAATGGCTTGGATATAAATTTGGGCTGCGCTGCTGCGGGGACAACAGTCTGCTGCTGCTGCTGCTGCTGGTGTTGCTGTTGCTGCTGCTGTTGGAGCAGATTGTTGTTAGCGGCTTGAGCCATCAGCTGCCGCTGATGGAGCTGTGCCTGTTGCAGGGCAAATTGCTGTAGCTGCTGTTTCTGTTGCACTGCCTGCTGCTGCTGTTGCTCAAGTTGCTGCTGCTGTTGCTGGGCGATCAAGTTGGGCGACAAAAACTGTTGGGTTCCATTGCGTAGCGTTACAGGCAGAGTTTTGGCCAAAGCATTGCTACTCGTCGCCTGCTGTTGCTGCTGTTGTTGCTGTGCGGCCGCTGCTTGCAGTGTGAATTGCTGAAGCAGCTGCTGCTGCTGTTGATGTTGCTGCTGGTGTTGACGTTGCTGCTGCTGTTGCAACAGAAAGTTGCCAATAATCTGACCATTGGAATCAACCAGAATCTGGCGTTGCTGTGGCGCAACCGCTGGAGCATTCTGCTGTGGCTGCATCGGCTGATTGAGGCTCAGATTGTTGCTGCTGTCGTTGCTGTTGCTGCTGTTGGTGATCACGGTGCTGGATACCTCCATTTCGGCAGCTGACATGGGCACGGCTTCGCCCAGAATCTCCTGCGTAATCTGGAAGGACACCAAATGGTATCAGAAGATTCAAGTGGCTCTATAAACTTTGTCGTGTAACTCACCTCGTTCCCGTACTCGGTGTGGGCCTGTGGCAAAAACGAATGCTGTGGCAAATGCACTACATCCTGGATATGCACATGCTGTCGCTGCCGTTGCTGCTGCTGCTGCTCTTGTTGCTGCTGCTGTTCCTCTTGATGCTGCTGCAATTTGTCCACTATTTGCTGCACTGCATCACTGTCCTCGTCGTTCATAGCTTCCAGCATCTGCTGTTCCTGCTGATCATCGTCGATACACTCAACGAGATCGTCGTCCTCCTCCTCCAACTCATCGCTCTCGTTGAGGAACTCCTGACACGCATCATCATCGATGACTTCTTCCTTGACGACCTCCATCAGATTGATAGCCTCATGATTCAGTTGCTGCTCCCTCGCTGCTTGGGAGCTTCTTTGGGGAGTTGCTGCCATCAGCTTAATGTCACCAAAGTTCCAATCGTGCTGGACGTGCTGATACATTTCGCTCGAGTTCAACTCCACAGATGGCTGCTGGTGTTGCTGCTGCTGTTGCAACGTGACCACCGAGGAGAGCATAGCCTGGACATCGGCCAGAGTTGACCCTGCCGCTGAGGACAGCGACAATGGGGCTGTTGATGATACTCCTACGGCTGCTACTGATGTTGTCGACGTTGCTGACGCGTTGGTGGTGGCCGCCGTTACAGTGGCCGGCATGGAGCTGGAATTGCTGCTCGAGCACGATGATGACAGTGAAGCGGATGAGGAGGATGTAAAGCTAGTGGACGTGATCGAGCTGGGTGGAGTCGAGCTGCAAATCGAGCTGGGTATGGCCACTGAACACATGGGCGAGTCATCCAGCTTAATGCAGTGCTGCTCCTCCTCCAGTTTGAGTGCCGAATGCGCCACTGTGCATGCAACGAAAAGAGGAAAGCAATATAGTTTATATTTAGTTTAAGGGCTATGGAGGCATTATGTATTACTGTTGGACGATGACGATGATGTGTAGAAGGTGTGATTGATGTCTGTATGATGGTTGTGGAAATATGCTGAACATGAACGAACACAAGGGAAAAACATTAGTCGGGTGGGTATAACAAGGTGGAGGGGCAAGTCCCCTAAGCGCTGAACAGTAATCAAAAGATGGCTCACCATGATCGATGGTATCTGCAAACACGAAATCATGGCTGGCTCCTGATGCTGCTGCTGCCACTTCCGCTGCTGCTGCCGTTGTGTGATCTACCTCATTAGACGCATCCAATGGCCCTTTGGTAACTAGCTCCACGCTCTCCAAATAGCTTTCAAAGTCATTGACCTCCGCCTCGGGATTGTCTGGCGGTGTGACAGCCGCCGTGGCTACTGCCAGTGCAGCGGCGTTCGCGGCTTCAAGCTCCACCATGTCCTGATGATCAATGGAAATGAACTCTTCATTGCACTCGGATGGCTCGATTTTATCACAGGTACTGTTGATAATTGGCTGCTGCTGTTGTTGTTGTCGCTCCTCATTGATTCTTGTTGCAGTTATCTTCGTTGTGGCATGATCCACCACATCCTTATTGAGGGTGGGCAGGGGCGACGACGGTGCAGTGGCAACGACAGCATTCCCTGACGACGAATAAGGAACAAACGGAGCTTCGATTTTCATCAGTTTGCTCTCCTTGGATGTGCTCGGCAGCACCTCATTGGGATCATCATCGTCATCGTCTAGTATTATTGTTGGTGTCGGCTTGCGACGCGATGGGCTGCTCGACGGACGTTTGAGGATGCGACGCTGTTGCTCTGTCCCTACTAAGCTATTCTGACTGCAACTAGTCTCAGGCGGAGCAGTTGTTGTTCTTCCTGCAGCTGCTGCTGCTGGTACGCTAGTGTTTGCTGCTGCTGCTGCGGCTGCGGCTGCTGTTGTCGTTTCGCACTTTGTGCTCTGAAAGAGTGGAAAGGTCAGAGTACAGTTCAAAGCGCAGAGAGATCTCCGATCCAATCATTGCTTACCAAATCAAATTTCAGTTCAGTCTCATTATCACATGTTGCTTGTTGCTTTTGCTGTTGCTGTTGCGTTGTCGCTGGTGGTTTGGGCTCACTCTTAATGGTTGTCGTCCGATGCTTCTCCTTTTCGATCTCTAGCTTCAGCTTGCCAACTGTGGTGGGCATACCCGATGCATTCCTCGCATTCTTCTCCCCCCAATAGGGCTCAAAGTGCTTCAATTTCCACGGATCAAGCTTGTTCTTCTCGCGCTCCGCCTCCGTCTTAAGCTTCAACTGGTTCTCGGGCGTGAATTCTCCTTCGCTCAATCGCTCGCGCCACTCCAGACAGGCGCGGGCAAAGAATTCATTGTTCAGGCATGACGCAGTTAGTCGAATGGCCTCAGAGGTGGAGCTCCCACTGCCACTGCCACTGCCGCAGGCACCACTACTGCTTGGCTGATCTAGCCCATGCGGCGGCAAGAACTGTGGCTCCACAACGCTGGCCTCACGATCGACACTGGGCAACAGCTGAATGAGATTGTATTGATATAGCGGGGGCAGCAGCGAGAACGTCTGCTTGTTCAGCAACGCCCTCAGATTGGTGGATGCCAATATGGAGTCCGGTGTCTCCAGATCGATTTTTCCGTCCTTCGTTTGCTCAATTTGCGCTGCTGTTGTCAGCTTCTTGTTGCTGCGACGTCGCGGCTTCACGCTGAACCCGGGTATGGAGGCCAGCACCTCGCGCATCGTTGAGGCCTGCGAGGAGGAGGCACCTTTGCTGCCCGGCGACGTGGTGGCTGCATTTGCAGCCTGGGCTGCTGCTTCGGCTGCTGCTGCTGCTTCGGCGGCCGCCGCCGCGGCTGCAGCTGCCTTCGCCTGCTGTTGCTGCTGGATGCGCCGACTGCTGAACATGCGTGCGGGGGGAGCTGAATTGGAGGCAGTATGTGGGACCAGCGATGTCAGTCCTGGCATTGCCGCTGGCAGAGGATCTTCGCTTGGCGCCATGGACTTTTTCTCAAGTGTTATGGGTTTCACGATTATGCGCGGCAGGTGACGTCTAAGGTGGAAAGGAAAGAAGTCGGCATATGAGCATTTTGTTTTGGCACAACAATCAAATGGGAAACTAACCTGAGACTATGCGAGTGCTTGGTCGTTGGGGACACCACCTCCGTATGCTCCAGCGCCAGCGGATCCTTTTCATCATCGTCCACGAGATTCACATGCGCCGTGGCTTCCATTATTAATGGCGGCACAATAATCGTTTGCTGATGTTGCATCTGCAGTTCTGCTTGTGGAATGAGAAGTTGTTGCTTTTGCTGATGCTGCGACGCTGTCGTCGTGTCCGGCGTAATGGTTTTCATTGCTTATCTGTCTCTCGGTCTCTCTCTCACTGCTCGAAACTATTTACAGCCAAATCTTCACAGAGGGTTTGCTATCTATTCTATGTCCATGTCCCATCAGGCCAGTTTCTTCCGCACATACTGAAAATCAAATTGAGAAAGGGAAAAGTCAGTGTCGGGTATCGGGCTTCGGTCTTCGGTTTCCGTCTATCTGTGCAGCGGCAACAGCTGACAGGCGGCAGGAGGGGCTTTTGCGTTTGCCCTTGATTGGTTTTAAATCAAATCAATTTGCAGCACCGGAAGAGAAATTATCGGAAGGGCAGAAGAGCAGGCTCTGCGGTAGAAAAATGTGGGGCTGTACACTGCCCCCCTCCTCCACCAAGGGTACCGCAAAGGGGAATAGAAATTTTCCATTTCCCCCAACAGCGATGTGGGTGTATGTAAAGTGAATCGGGAGCATTTTACTAACCTGACCAGCAGTATTGTCCATTTTAAGGCAAAGCGAGAGCCTTTCTGTATAATTTTAACGTTGCGCCCTTTGTATATGTACTTCCATCTGTGTGTTTTCGTGTCTATGGGTGTGTGTGTATGTCCGCTGGTTTGTTTAGGTGTGTATGTGTGTATATGGATATATTTAATCAGATTGCGGTTCCACGGTATTTCCTATATACTTCCGATATCTTATTTGGTCTCTTTTTTACATTAATTTTTCCTCTTCCGTTGCCTAAAAACCAACAACAATAAAAACAACAATGTTACTACAACAACAAGAAACGGTTAAGCAGAGTTGTTTTTTTCCTCCCGCACATACACTCGCACACACACGGTCAGGCACACGCATACACTAACGCGCAGTAAGCACGTAGAAAATTACTGCCTTTGGCCACGATTAGAAGAGTACTTTGGGGTTTTTCTATTCTCCCATATATTGCAAGACGGGGATAGTGCCTTCCACCTTTATCTATTGCACATTGTATGGCCACCGCTGCAATAAACGGCCACTGAATTAAATATTGAATGGGGGGAAATGTGAATGCCAAACACACAAACAAAAGCAAAGCAGCTACAAAATGATTCTTTTCTAGCTGACTATGACGGTCTCTTTCTGGTACAAGTGTTCGGCCTGGCGGCCAGCGGCTGTCCTTTTCGTGCACGCTGCTACGCAGAAAACCTTTGCGTGCAATTGAATGAAACTAATTTATTTACATCACATAATTGCACACTAAGCACACACTAGATCACTATAGTTATCGCATTTAAGCTTACAGGTTGCGTTTGTGAGCAGTTTTTAAACATATCATACGCAATTTTTAGTTTAAATACGGACCAAAAACAACTATTAGTATTTTAACGCGGAATCAGTATTACCATAATTTTGCTATCGAGTATGTTTTGTAAATACCGAAATATACCGTCTCATTTTACAAATATTCAGTAAATAAGGTAGCCCTATCTACCGTCATGGTAGATTTAAAGAAGGTAGGGTAAAAAAACTCAAGAGCAGACTGATTTTAGGTTGCTAATAATTAGGAGAATTCTTTGACAAAATCCAATAAAAGCAAGTGTTTAAAATAAGCCAGTCAAGTAGAAAATAGATTCATTAATTGGATAAAATTATGTGGGCAGGGCTGAGAGATCTAGATAGATAGTAATATTTCACGGAATATAAAAATCGAGGGATGTAGAACTTGAATTCGTCAGTATATTTTTTAAATGAGACGGTATATTTTGGTATATTTTTGAGGACGAACTAAACTAAAACAGACCAGTGCTGCAAGATTTTGAGAGTCACTATAAGCTAGATTGAAGAATAAAATTAAGCTAGAATAAGCTAAAAATAAATCAATAATTAAAGTAATGACATGATTTTTTCCACTTATTTTTGTCATGGCCGAGTGCTTAGCAAAGTACACAAAAAACCGCAAACAAATCGTAAAAAATACTACAATTACAAAAATCAAAAAACAAATTGTTTTGTACTAAATGATTTTTAGCCAAAATAAGCTAAATGAAATTTTAAATAAGCTAGATCTCATTATTTTTCAAGCTACTTGGTTTTAAAATAAGCCAAATCTAGCTTTAAATAAGCTGAAATGGCAGCACTGAATAAGACATCCCAGCAATTAGTTTAGGAAAATAATGTTTAATTTATTGCTGTGCAGAAGAAAATAAAGCGACGCGATGTTCTCCATGTGCAAGCAAACCCACCCCGCCACGTCGGTGGAGTTCGCCATCTCGTGCCGGTTCTTCAACAACCTCGAGGAGAACCTCGTTGTGGCCGGCGCCAACATGCTGAAGGTGTACCGCATCTCGCCGAATGTGGAGGCGGGGCAGCGCCAGAAGCTCAATCCCAACGAGATGCGCATTGCCCCGAAGATGCGGCTCGAGTGCCTGGCCACATACTTCCTCTACGGCAATGTGATGTCTCTGCAGTGCGTCTCCCTGGCGGGCGCAATGCAGGATGCTCTCCTGGTTAGCTTCAAGGATGCGAAGCTGTCGGTGCTGCAGCACGATCCGGACACATACGCCCTGAAGACACTATCGCTGCACTACTTCGAGGAGGAGGACATCCGGGGTGGCTGGACGGGTCGCTACTTTGTGCCGGTGGTGCGCGTGGACCCGGACGCCCGCTGTGCTGTCATGCTGGTCTACGGCAAACGACTGGTGGTGCTGCCCTTCCGCAAGGACAACAGCCTGGACGAGATCGAGCTGACGGACGTGAAGCCCTTCAAGAAGGCACCCACAGCAATGGTCTCGAGGACGCCCATCATGGCGTCCTACCTGATAACCCTCAAAGAACTGGACGAGAAGATTGACAACGTCCTGGATATACAGTTCCTGCACGGCTACTACGAGCCTACGCTTCTGATCCTCTATGAACCGGTGCGCACCTGCTCGGGCCGCATAAAAGTACGCTCGGACACCTGCGTCTTGGTGGCCATCTCCCTGAACATTCAGCAGCGCGTCCATCCGATTATATGGACAGTGAATAGTCTGCCCTTCGACTGCTTCCAGGTGTGTTCCCCCAACAGCATAATTTGGGCCGAAATTTAATCTCCAGCTCTTTGCTCCAATCCCCCAGGTTTATCCGATTCAGAAGCCCATTGGCGGCTGTCTGGTGATGACTGTGAATGCCGTGATCTACCTCAACCAGAGTGTACCGCCGTATGGGGTCAGCCTGAACAGCTCGGCGGACAACAGCACCAGCTTCCCCCTCAAGCCCCAGGATGGTGTGCGGATAAGCCTGGATTGCGCCAATTTCGCCTTCATTGATGTGGACAAACTGGTTATCTCGCTGCGCACGGGCGAGCTCTATGTGCTGACTCTCTGCGTGGACTCCATGCGGACTGTGAGGAATTTCCACTTTCACAAAGCGGCCGCCAGTGTCCTGACCAGCTGCATTTGCGTCTGCCACTCGGAGTACATTTTCCTGGGTTCTCGGTTGGGCAATTCCCTGTTGCTGCACTTCACCGAAGAGGATCAGAGCACGGTCATCACGCTGGATGTGGATGCGGAACAACAAGCAGAGCAGCAGCAACAGAAGCAGCAGCGGGTGCAGGAGGATCAGGACATCGAGGAGGTTTACGATGTGGACCAAATTGAATTGGCTCCCCCTCAAGCCAAGTCCCGACGGATAGAAGACGAGGAACTGGAGGTGTGTAGGACAGCGATTAAGCGATTTCCCTTGGAATTATCCTCTGACTTGTATTCCTTTAGGTCTATGGCTCGGGGGCCAAGGCTTCGGTTCTCCAGCTGCGCAAATTCATCTTCGAGGTCTGCGACAGCCTCATCAATGTGGCGCCCATCAATTACATGTGCGCCGGCGAGCGCGTGGAGTTCGAGGAGGATGGGACCACGCTGCGACCGCATGCGGAGAACCTGCATGACCTGAAGATCGAGCTGGTGGCCGCCACAGGGCACAGTAAAAACGGTGCCCTCTCCGTCTTTGTGAACTGCATCAATCCGCAGATCATCACCAGCTTCGAGCTGGACGGCTGCCTGGACGTGTGGACGGTGTTCGACGATGCCACAAAGAAGACCTCGCGGCACGATCAGCACGATTTCATGCTGCTCTCGCAGAGCAACTCCACCCTGGTCCTGCAGACCGGGCAGGAGATCAATGAGATTGAGAATACCGGATTCACGGTGAATCAGGCCACCATATTTGTGGGCAATCTCGGCCAGCAGCGGTTCATTGTTCAGGTGAGTAACACAGCCAGCCAGCCTGTCTGCCACTCCTCATGCAAGTCCCCTGTTTCCTCTGCAGGTTACCACACGCCATGTGCGTCTGCTGCAGGGCACTCGCCTCATCCAGAACGTGCCCATCGATGTGGGCTCGCCGGTGGTGCAGGTGGCCATAGCCGATCCCTATGTGTGCCTGCGTATGCTGAACGGCCAGGTGATCACACTGGCACTGCGCGAGACGCGCGGCTCGCCCCGACTGGCTATCAACAAGCACACGATCACCAGCTCGCCCGCCGTCGTGGCCATCGCCGCGTACAAGGATCTGTCGGGCCTGTTCACGGTCAAGTCGGACGATGTGCTCAATCTGACGGGGGGCACGGGCAGCGGCTTTGGCCACAGCTTCGGGGGCTACATGAAGGCGGAACCCAACATGAAGGTGGAGGATGAGGAGGACCTGCTGTACGGCGATGCCGGGAATGCCTTCAAGATCAACAGCATGGCGGTCCTGGCCCAGCAATCGAAGCAGAAGAACTCGGACTGGTGGCGCCGCCTCCTGGTGCAGGCAAAGCCCAGCTACTGGCTGGTGGTATCCCGCAAGAGTGGAACCCTCGAGATCTACTCGATGCCAGATATGAAGCTCGTCTACCACATCAATGATGTGGGCAACGGGGCCATGGTCCTCTCGGATGCCCTGGAGTTCGTTTCGCTCTCATCCAGCACGCAGGAGAACTCCAAGGTGGGCATTGTCCAGTCCTGTATGCCGCAGCACGCCAACTCCCCGCTGCCCCTCGAACTGAGTCTGGTGGGGCTCGGGCTCAATGGAGAGCGGCCCGTGCTGATGGTGCGCACCCGCGTGGAGCTGCTCATTTATCAGGTGTTCAGGTATCCCAAGGGCAACCTGAAGATCCGCTTCCGCAAGCTGGAGCAGCTGAATCTGCTGGATCAGCAGCCCTCGCACATAGAGCTCGAGGAGAACGACGAAGAGGAGGAGCTGGAGTCCTACAACATGCAACCGAAGTACGTCCAAAAGCTGCGGCCCTTCTCCAACGTTGGAGGTTTGGCTGGGATCATGGTCTGTGGCGTGAACCCCTGCTTTGTCTTCCTTACCGCCCGCGGCGAACTCCGCATCCACCGCCTGCAGGGCAACGGCGACGTCCGCAGCTTCGCTGCCTTCAACAACGTGAACATACCCAATGGATTCCTGTACTTTGACACCACCTTCGAGCTGAAGATCTCCGTGCTGCCCAGCTACCTGAGCTACGACTCCGTCTGGCCCGTGCGCAAGGTGCCGCTGCGGTGCACGCCCCGTCAGCTGGTGTACCACCGCGAGAATCGGGTCTACTGCCTGATCACGCAGACGGAGGAGCCGATGACCAAGTACTACCGCTTCAACGGGGAGGACAAGGAGCTGTCCGAGGAGAGCCGCGGCGAGCGGTTCATCTATCCGAATGGCTCGCAGTTCGAGATGGTTCTCATCTCGCCCGAGACCTGGGAGATTGTGCCGGACGCCTCCATTCGCTTCGAGCCGTGGGAGCATGTGACGGCCTTCAAGATCGTGAAGCTGTCGTACGAGGGCACGCGATCGGGTCTCAAGGAGTACCTCTGCATCGGCACCAACTTCAACTACAGCGAGGACATCACCAGCCGCGGCAACATCCACATCTACGACATCATCGAGGTGGTGCCCGAGCCGGGCAAGCCCATGACCAAGTTCAAGCTGAAGGAGGTCTTCAAGAAGGAGCAAAAAGGCCCCGTCTCGGCCATATCGGATGTGCTGGGCTTCCTGGTCACCGGGCTGGGCCAGAAGATTTACATCTGGCAGCTGCGGGACGGCGATCTCATCGGCGTGGCCTTCATCGACACCAACATCTATGTCCACCAGATCATCACCGTCAAGTCGCTGATCTTCATAGCGGACGTGTACAAGTCGATCAGTCTGCTGCGCTTCCAGGAGGAGCACCGCACCCTCTCGCTGGCCTCGCGTGACTTCAATCCCCTCGAGGTGTACGGCATCGAGTTTATGGTGGACAACAGCAATCTGGGCTTCCTGGTGACGGACGCTGAGCGCAACCTGATTGTCTACATGTATCAGCCGGAGGCCAGGGAATCTCTCGGCGGCCAAAAGCTCATCCGCAAGGCAGACTACCATCTGGGGCAGGTGGTGAATACCATGTTCCGGGTGCAATGCCATCAGCGGGGCGTGCACCAGCGACAGCCCTTCCTCTACGAGAACAAACACTTTGTCGTCTATGGCACCTTGGATGGGGGTCTTGGCTACTGTCTGCCGCTTCCGGAGAAGGTCTACCGCCGCTTCCTTATGCTGCAGAACGTCCTGCTCTCGTACCAGGACCACTTGTGCGGCCTCAATCCCAAAGAGTTCCGCACGCTGAAGTCGTTCAAAAAGCAGGGCCTCAACCCCTCGCGTTGCATCATCGATGGCGACCTGATCTGGTCCTATCGCCTGCTTCCCAACTCCGATCGCAATGAGGTGGCCAAGAAGATTGGCACGCGGACCGAGGAGATTCTGTCCGATCTGCTGGAGATCGAACGCTTGTCTGGTGTTTTCTAGATACGATATTTGATAATCATGTCTAAAGTTGTAAAGTTTAGTCCTTAGTCTTATATCTAGTTATGTTACGAGGTTTATCAGTTGTAATTCCAGTTCTCGACCCACATATAAACCACAAAACAAAGTATTTTGTTAAGAATATTGATGGATTTTTTGTTCTATTTACTGCATATGTCTTGGTGCTGGATCGGATATATCCCACAGTTCGCATTTAAATTTAAATTTGAATTTTACGTTCACACGTGACTGGCAATGACACACGATATTTTTAGCATCGATATCTTTTAGAGATTTTATCGTAAAATATCCCAAATAAATCGAAATTCAAAAACGATTAGATTGATGTAAAGGGAGTGAAATACCAGTGTTTTCAATGGTAACACTTCTCCAATGATGATTTGGACCACCTCTCTTCCCTAAAAGCCAAAAGTTCCTTTATTTCTCAGGAATAGTTCCCATTTATCTTTAGCCGTAAAACAACATTCCTTTTCGTTAAATAAAACCGCGATTTCAATTAAGTTTCGACAGTTGGTCGGTCTTGCTGCTGGCGCTTCTTTATAGTTTTCTGTATATGTATAGTATATTATAATATAAAGATATATATGCAAGTATATGTATACTAGATTATTCATTGTATAAACTAACAACATCATCATCATTATCATCATCATCAGTAACCATCGTATCAGTATCAGTTAGACAAAACTAATGTGCAGCGGCGGCGGCACCCGCTACTAATGGGTCCGTCCGCTTGCACTTGTCGTTCGAAGAAAATACAAACTTTTCAATCGAAGATCATCGCGAAATAATGAAAAAAGAACTTATGAGGAAAAACATGTCAAAGAAGGAAGGGATGTGTAGTCTGTGGTGTGTGGTGGGTGGTGCAGCTTGCGCCTCACTGCCCAAGTGGTACTCTGTAGATGGTAGTTCTGCCTTCAGATGCCTCCAAGATGGCAAATTCTTGGCCTGTTTATTATGGTCTATCTTTCGTTGTGGATGCGCTCCCTTGGATCCAGTCCGCGGATTTGTGTGTGTGTTGTGTGGGTTTATGCGGAATACGAACTGATTTATATGTATATATATAAGTATGTGTACGTAGTGGTGGTTCTCGACTCGTCATCTCCCTCTCCCCGTCGTTCGCTGTGGCGGCGCCTCCCTGCGCTAGCCCTCGATCTGGGAGCGCAGACGGGGCCGGGGCAGGTCCCCAAACACAGCCTCTCCATGGACACTCTTGGTCAGCGCCTGAATGCTGGCCGCTATATCGATGTTGTCCAAACCCTGTCGAAAGATTACATATGTGAATGCACTTCCATCTCTTTTGCGACTGAGGGATCTTACCTCCTCGCAGCCCAACGCAAAGTTGTTGTTATTGTTGGCGACTGCTGCCCGCTCCGCAAGCGTCGAGTTGGGCATCTCGATGGGCAGACTCCTGGCAAAGTTCATCAGCTGGGCCTGCGTCGGACGTCCAGCCCGTCCCACGGGTATGGAAACGGAGCTATCCAGATCCAGGGCATCTAAGGAGAGACAAGACACATTTCAGTCACTGACAAATACCGATCCCTGCTGCTTACTCACCCTCCGCCTCATCGGCTGTATCGGCCTCGTCCAGATCATCGACCATCCCGTTCTGCATTGGCTGGATGCTGTGCACCCGCTGGTACATCAGGGTGTGTGGATATCCGGATTGCACGGGTACGGGCACTGGCTGCGGCACCGTATACTCCTCTACATCCTCCAGGTCGAACAGGCAGTCATCAGCATCGTCCTCCCCGTTCGCAGTGACTCCTCGTCCTCCTCCGCCGCCGTGTGTGGCAAGCAGGTGTGGGGCAACTGCCACCGACGACTGCTGCTGCTGTTGCTGCTGTCTGAAAGTGGGACTGTTGCCGACGCTCATCGGCGTGGCTTCTGGCGTGGCGGGCGGCGTATCGAAGTTGGACATCTTCCTCAATCTGACGCTGGCCATCGAGGAGGCGGCACTGGACAATGGCTGCAGCTGGGGCTGCGATGGCTGTGAGGGTTGCTGCTGCTGCTGCTGGTTCAACGCCAGGAAGTTGGGGGGATGGTTGAGGGTGGTGGTGGGCGTGGTGGGGTTGCTAAGCTCCCGGCGGCTGCTTATCGTATTCCGACGCCTGGCACCGGCTGCACTGGGCAGCCAATTGCCGGTCACCTCCAGGGCGGGGGTCATGCCCCTATCGAGAAGCTCTGCCACATGCTCCGGCACCTGCCGGATGTGGTGCATCAACTGGGCGCAGTCCTGGTCCGCCTTCTCCCGGAAGCTCTTCAGCAGCTCGAACTCCGTTCCCGCATACCGCTCGATGCGCTCGTTCGTCTTTTTGATCTCCTCCTGCAGGCGCGCCTGCTTGTTGGCCAGCAGCTGTCGCAGGCGCTGCTGCTTCATGTCCAGCGGATTGCCCGCCAGCGAGCCAATGCTGAGGCTCGATGACGAGGCGGCCATGCCCGTGGCCGGTGGTGGCGGGGAGAGGACACCGCTGATCATGACCAGCAGATCGAACGTCTCCGAATATGACTTGAGGCCGCGTCGCTGGGCAAGCTCCTCGCCGTTGCTCAGCAGCGTGCTGTTGATGAGGTATTGGTTGGGCGTGGCCCCCGCCACGGCTCCAGCTCCGGCTCCGGCTGTGAGGCGCTTGGCGCACAGCACATCCTTGCAATTGATGCAGATACTCAGCTGCCAGCTCTCTCCGCCCGCATCGAGCGTGAGGCCGAAGAGCAGTTCGCGCTGATTGATCACGTTTACGGTGAGGTCTGGAATGGGTCCATAAGCCTGTGCAGAATAGAACAGAACCGAAGGAGAGGAGAGGAACAGAGAAGGGTATTATTATAAGAGATTAGTCATTGATTCAGGTGGAGGTGATAAGGTGATAAGACTCTGGTCGGTCGGTAGCTCGGTCAATGCCTGATAAGAGGCCATAACACTTTCCCCATTCGTTCCCCAATGTTGCAAGCCAAGCCATTATCTGCTGCTTCCGCTCCTTCTACCTCCAAGAACAACTACTCTTTCTCTGCTGTATACTTTTTATTGGATTGGCACACCAGCACCCCCCAGCCACCCCCTCCGCATCCATCCACACAGTAGTTCAAGTGCAAATTTGTCAATTATGTTCCCAGTGGAAGAGAAGTGAAGTCAAGGGCTTATCATCGAACAGAACACACAACAAGCAGTGGAGCAGATGGAACAAGTCAACAGCAAACAATTAGGGGAATGCTTAAATGCTGTCACTACCCTCTGACACCCACCAAGACGAATCCACCCACGGAAAAAAACAAACAAAAAACAGACTACTCGTATTCGATATTGACAGTCATGCTGATGGGCAGAATGATACACTGATATTACAATTGATATCAATAGATATACTCGTAAATGGAACGCAGAGGATGTTTCCAATTTCGTCTTACAAACTATGGAAGAGTGGTTGTCAGCGAAAGCTATCATAGAAGATAACAAAAGTAAAAAAAACAATAAATGGTGACCCCGACAAATGGTGAATCCAGACATTTTCGCCTTAGCCAAATATTCACAGAATCAAATCTATAACCCACCAAATACAGGTTTGTGATCCAAGCAAGATGAAGATAAGTTCTGCATAGATTAAAAGTATTTCAACAAATGGTGACCCCGCCAAGTGTCCTCCATAGACGGCAGAGCAGAATACCAGAAGAACGGAATTTATCCAATGCGTAAATAAAACCCTATCCCGTTCTATCACTGTTGTATACATGAGTTTGTGCCGTAATTCCCGCATATATTTTGATCGTCGCGCACGTGTTTGACAGCTGACAGGAACCGAGCACTCTTTATAGACGTGTTCTGCTAAATTCGACACTTGAATTCCGTGAAACAGAAGAGAGAACCGAACCAGAGCCGGTTGGAGGAGCGTAACAGAATTAAATTGAATTAAGTTATAGAATGCAAACGTCGGCACAAATCAAATGACAATGTTGCCATTCAGGTCCGCCACCGTGGTGGTGTAGGGGGGGTGGAACCAGTGTGTTCTCGTTGCATGCACTCTCCTAGATTGTCATTTCCATCATCATCATCATCATCGTCATTGTCATCAGGTGAAATTGAATGCATAAACAAGCGACAAGTGTTGTCTTTATTTTTATGGAAACATTCTCGCACTGCTATTACTACATTTTGTATTTTTATGAACCAGCGCAATGTTACCCCAGTGGGAGTGGGGGGGGGCGACATTTGAAAAATGACACATTTTACGAACCTAACGATGCCCAGGGCACTCTGCATTTGTCCATCTCCCCCCCCTGTTCGGAATGTTCTTACGGTGTGGTCACACTCACGCCTCTCCCACCACAGGGCAGCGTCCAGTGTCTGCACATCACTTGAATGTTTATTGTTTACCCTCTCTGCCGTAATATCTTATCGTACTGTACAATATTTGTCCAGAAAAAAAAAAACACACACAACAAATGACAATGCAAATGCATTATTGTCAAGTGTTTGGGTGTTTTTCTGTTTTCTGCTGTCAAACGCATAAATATATTTATGGGCCCCTGGGGCTTATTAGCTCAGCGTCGAGTCGCGCTATTTTACGACTGTTTTTGTTGTTGAGTGCGTGTCTCCCGCAATACTGGATACCCTGTACATATGTAGTAGCACTTAGGAGGTATTATGGTATATACCATAGAAAAGCAGATAAGATTGTGGGGTGATTGCAAAAGATGGCCTTCTGATTGATCTCTTAATTACACAAGAGGATATTGTAAGATCCCCAGTGCTTCCAGGGTAAGTGCAATACTCCATCGATTCTACTTCATTCTTTCTGGGCTTTTTTTTCTCTCTACCTCATTTACAGTTTTTATGACTGTTGTTCTTGTTCTTGATTCTGTGTAGCCTCGTCCGGCCCACATTATCTTCCGACGTCGTCAGAGTTGTAAAATGTTGAGCACTCTCCCTCTCCCACTTGCACCTACGTGTCGCCCCCCGTCCATATCGTCTGATATTTGTAGAAGGCGGCTAGGCTAACACATTTTCTAGGGCCTCTTCCGCTCCCGCTCTCCCTCTCCCTCTCTCTGTATTTTGCAATATGCAAAATGTCAATGACTCTTCTTTTAGCAATTGTTCTGCTGCAGCGGCATACACACGTAGGCTCTCTTTTGATACCCAGCTTGAAGAGGGGGTATTACGATTTGGTTCAGATGTTTGCACACAAGAAGAGATTTACAATTACTACACAAACGACGTGAGATATAGAGAATGCGATGACTGGAAAGAGGCAAAGAGTGAGAGAGTGGCAAAAAAAAAGGCACTGGAAAGTCGGCGGGAGATAATTTTTGTACCTTTTTGTTTAGTTTAGGGTATCACACGCTTCGACTCTCGCATTTGGCAGGCCTCTCTCATCTCTTGCCTGCTTAATTAACTGTAAATGCTGCACGAGAGAGAGTCAGCAAGAGGCAGAGAGAGAGAGAGAGAAACAATGATAAAGAGACAACAGACAGACGGCGGCACAGTGGGTTCGAATTGGAATTGGCTGCTAATTGAAATTAAATGAATACACAGTGGCTGCCAATTATGCTGCGGCGCCCCCGAACGTTGCACGAACTAATTAAATACCCATTTACGCCCGACATTGACATATGACTATATATTTAATGGATCCATTTGATTAATTGTAATCACATCAACAAAATAAACACACCGAATCTCAAAATGAAATATTAATAAATAAAACGTAGTCCGAGAGAGAGAGACGGAGACTCTGAGAGGAAGGAACGCGACAAAAAGCACGTAACGACAGCCGCACGCTGCCGGAATATCGGAAATCAATATAAATTGCATGGAATCGCACTCGAAAGCGCGACAACTGAATAATATATGTATGGAGGAGTATGCATATGGCCTGGGGCACTGCCCAGCGAGAATCAGTTTGCAAATTGTCTAAACTGTCGGATTCGCTGTCAAACTGTCAACGAGAGCTGTGCGTGATATTCGACATGGATACCCACACACCTCTATATATTGCTCAGCGATTTTATCAGATAAACTAATGGGCTAGAAACTACTCGTGTGTATGTAGCCCGCATGCCTCATCCTTTAGAATGTGTTCTTGGCATTTAATTCTTTAAATTATGACTCGTACAAACGGCAATATTTTTAAGAGATACCCGTTATACTGGTTTTAAAAATTCTACTTCTAGCCAACGTATTATATCACAACATCAAAACGTTTCCATAAATGTTGTTCTTTCCCACAGGAAGCAGTCCCGCCCGCACGTGCCGGCTGTTAGTCTGCTGTTAAGCTAACAGTGTGCGCAGATCTTGTGCTCTCAGTGTGGCTGATTGGCTGTTAACACTGTTGGCTGTTAACAGTGGCTGTTAAATAACTATTTTTGCTGTCATTAAAAAGTTGCGCACTTGAATTGTAGTTGTTATTCTGCGGCTGCTGGGACAGAGACCGAAACAATTGAAATTCATATCAATGCATACTCGACTCGTGTGTTCCCCGAGCCCCAGCACATGTCGAGCCTCGTCCCCCGCTCTGGCCTGTCTGGCAGGCAGGCAGGCAGGCCTTACACAACACAATCATAAAACAAACAACTTTTAGATATGCATGTGTCTGTAATCATTTATCACATTTTTGCACATTTCTGCATAATGAATGTGTTGTTGTTGTTGGGCTGTGACTATTATTGGTATGGCTCTGGATCTGGCTGTTTGTAATTTGACTGCCTGGCATTAATTATGGCCAGACGATACTCGACACCGACGGACACTCGCATTTTCCTAATGGGTCTTGGGTCTCGTATTGTATGCAAATTCGATTCGCTTCGATTTGGATTGGGAAAATGGAGGATTACTGCTGTAACCGAAAGCTTCTTCACAAACGAAGAGCGAATGCAAATATAGAGGGAGCGCATAGAAGAGAGAGATAGACAGTGGCAGTGAGAGTGAGAGTACCGATAGATAGATTGATAGAATTGATAGATAAACTGCTCGGAAAATGTGTTAACACCTACCCCGATAATTACCAATCAATCAGTCCATCAATCATGCTTTCCCCCCACCGTAAAAAAAAGAAGTAATATCCGCTGGCGACTGACGCATTTCCCTTTGTTTTGTTTTCCATTTCAGTTTCTATTTTCATTGAATTTTGCTTCTTCTTGTTTTTTGCGCACAAGAAGAAGGGAGACAGAGAGACGAGAAACCGAAAGACCGAAACTCAGCCAAAAAGAAAATAAGTTGTAAACAAATCAACTGGCAAAAGAAACTACGAAAATAATCTTTTATAGATTTGGCTGCCGCTTGTTGTTTGCTTTGACTTTTGGATCGCCCAGAGGGGGGGTGGGTGGGGTTCGCGGGGTGCTCTCTTTAGAGACCCACCAACCCCCCGCCCCCCTTTGCCAATGTTGGACCATTATCATAAACAACTTTTAGACAGCTGGGGACACGCGCAAGCGGGGTGTGGCTCGTTTTTCGGATTCGCTCTTTTCGGATTACCAATTGCCAATTTGTTTTATTTCTCGCCCTCCCTGCTCTACTGCTCTGGGTTCTGTGCTCATTTGTGATCTCAAAATTTTCCATTGGGTTTCGTTATTTGTTATCTGGTAGACCTTTGCGGAGGGGTCCCTAGTAGAGGGCTGTTATAGGAGTAGGCATTGGGCATTGTATGCCAACATCTGCACAGGCAACAATTGGCATACATATAATCTTGGACGATTCTATCATTCGGGGTACCATACCTTTTCAGATTCTCACTCTCTCCCAGTGGCAGTCTCTGATATCTTCTTCTCTTCTTCTCTTCT